ATCCATTCTTTTTCTACCATAGATCTTAAGTTTGAAAATCACCTTATATTTATAGATACCCGGATCCATTATTTCTTGTGAAACTATATTTCCTACTAATTTTGATACTATTGTAGTGAATGAGCACTCAGATGGGGGGCGATCAACTTACTAAACAATACTCAATTACAAAACATCTTAAAGTATGCGATCACTAAATTGAATATTTCATTTGCGAATTTCCATTTCACATTCTGTATGATTCTTCCAGTTCATAACTTCTTTCTATTTCCCTCTCTATTCTCTTCACTTTGATCCTTTTAGTGTTCTACTGCCAGGTTTTCCACTTCCAGTTGGTGTGTCATACTACTTATGCCTGTCGACATAAGTAGCATACACCACACTATCACTACTTCTACTACTTTAACAAACGTCTTGATAAACCCATCTAGAAGTGCTGATATGGCGTGGCAAATTGAATCATTGAAAATAATTGTCAGGTTCTACGTCGTTTTTGTTTGAACGACTTGGAAATTGAAACCAAGTATAGTGTTATTAATCAGTATGATATGAAAAACACGTTTGAAAAATGGTTTTCAACCCAGATTTATTGATATCAACTTGAAAATAAAACCTCATTTTGCAAGTACTCTAACAGATCCGAAGATTTTATTTATGAACATTGAATACAAGGGAGATACCGCTGAAAATATAACAAAGAACGGACTATCTAGAGTTCTATAAAAGTTAGTTTATCGGCGGAGCTCTAAATTGTTTTCTCTAGTAATAAAAACACATCCAGGAAAGTATCATAGCTAAACTGCCGATTCGGGTCACCTTAATATGTAGTTGTTAATTCACTTCTTTTCATGGAGCAATTAATATTGGTCGTACAAAGCATGCACTTGATAAATGAATAACTGAATACTATCCTATTTTGTGTATCGAAAGAAGAGCGTAAATTGATCGACATCTCAATCTTTGAACAGATGTTCAACTCTGGTCATATGCCAATACGAGAATCATCTTTCAAGATCACCTTCAAAGTTAAGAGAACTGTAAAGAAAATGATTAATTTGCGCACAGCAGAAGCCATAGTAAGTGGTCACTTCAAACTTGACCTCTGCGCACAAGAGTCATATTTAATCCCTTATACTTTCACGAAATAAGCAATTCTCCTGTTGTTACCAATTGTCAGTGTTAATTATTATCTGATTATTCTTCTATATTTGTCTTTTGTATTCAGTTCATAAAGTAATATTTCTTCTTAATTCTGAAACTATTATATAACTATATTTCTTGATCAATTTGCTAAATGATGTAACACCCATATTACATAATGCTTTAAAACTTTACAAGTTTCATCACTTTGAAAATAATACCCCTCTTGTTATGTCCCGATAAGCATAATGAATAGTAACTTTGAGATCCATTTATGGATCAATACTATACGTATATGTTTATCGTATAATTGTTATGCAACTAAACTATTCATATTCATATTCCTCTTATTATGAGCTTTATTTTGACTTATGAACCATTATTAAACAAACGTTTTACCATTCTTGAATTATGTCCTGTCTATTAATCACTACCTCCCACATTCACAGCCACATTTGGCCAAATTTTGTACAAATGTTGTTTCCCATTTTATGGTACGTTGTGGTCTGTTTGATTGGTATATAAACCCCGTATGTTTGAAATACGTGATACATATCACAGAGGCTGAGATTGGTGTTCTGGACTTAATTGGCTGGGCCAGGCAAAAAGTAGGGCCAATCAAGACTCTAGACCGCTCGTACGGGTTTAACGCATCATTGATCCGATCGATAAGTCACTGCTCTCTAATTAGCGGTATCGTTACGTTATCCATTAACAGGGCACTCAGGCCACAAGAAATAACACTTCTATTTCAGTATTTTATTCGAATCTTGTGATTTGATAATTTTGAATTTCCTTTATTAAGTGATCTGAAATCGCTTCATTTTCTAATATTCGATACATAAGTTTAATTATCTTTGCAATAATTTTGTAATGCTCCCCTGTTTTATTACAATTGTACAGTACAAAATAATGATACTATTCAAAAAGGAAATATTCCTTCTCTGAATCGGCTCAGCCCCCGAATGCTCTGGAACGGCCGAGAGTGGAGAGAGTCAGCTTCCCCTCTCGAAATGCTCTCACATGGCCACGTGCATACAACCACTGCCTTCCTGGTGTTGGGATGTTGTTTACGAAATTGAGAAGACGAAAAGCGAATGTTAGGCGCTTTAACCGGGTTAGTTGATATGAAGGATCCACATAGGGGAGTTGGAAGACACTGATTCCAAACCAATGGTGCACATATTCCCCAAGATCCTAAGGAAACATATGGAGTACTAACATATGGCATATCAGCTTATTGTTGGTCACCGGTTACCATGGAACTGTATCTCCTGACGCTGCTCCACTGCCTTGTGGACTAGACCTTCAGGTCAGAGGCTCAGGGTGTGGTCCCCTGAGAAAATCACCTCGTTCGGTCTCGGTATCTGGGCAGTATGACAGTTCACACACAAATCACTTGATTTGTGTGACGCATATGTATTCGTTGACCTTTTGTACCAATATTTGTGTTCATATAAATATATTTCTGAATTATCTTCATTCTTTTTTAATGATTCATTAATTTAATGAAAAATCCTATTGTCAAAAATCAGCGATGACTATTCCTTTTTTAAACAATGAATTGATATGAATATAATGCACAAACCAGAAATCTAACAGGTAGGCTGTTCAAATCCAATTTTGTTGTATATTTAGCAATAAAGAATCTGTTATTGCTGTACATCTACCGATATTGTCATACTATATAAACGTAGTTGGCTAGTAGGATCAACAAGATTCACATTATTCATTAATAATATGTAGATTGATCATAAAAATAATAAGAACCCAAATCAAACCATTGTGTTTCAATACTCTACACATTGTAATATACACAATTTGTATAACACAGTTTTGTCAAGAATAAACAGTATGTTAAATATAAACTATCGTTCAGTTGGTTATAAACTCAAACGTTTCAAAACGTCACATATCTTCTTTTAAACTCGGATTTATCCTGTTTATCATATGTACATTTATAGATGTTTGACTATTGTCACTTACTCTTACTGTTAAATGTTAAAATAACTTGTGTTGGTTAACTGAGAAGTCAGTAACAAACTAACAGTAACTAAACACCTTTAAATGTTAAATCTTATTGTAGATGACAAAAAAAAAACAATACACTATGTTATCCCATGTTTAATATAAATTCTAAATTGTGCTTCTTCGCTTACTAGACCAAATATAAATAGCATCAAGAAGCCACTATAACTTAGCATTAGAAGCATCGTTCAACTTTGAATAGTCAATGCCAAAGTTTGAATCACACTTAATTTATTTATATTTGAATACTCAGTGAAAATGTTATGAAAGGATGAAAAGTCAAATTAGATTGATTTACTCATTATGATTTTTATTTAATTTGATGGTCATTCAGTATAGTATTTGTTTCGTTTACCCCTATGACATTTTATCCTGTGATACATTCTGATTATTAATCAAAAATGGGTGCATGCATCAATATATAAATGAGTGTCGTGACTGCTCGTGCTTCTGGTTGCTTGCGGAATATATTTCCCCGTTTTGAACTTGGACTTTTTCCTTAGTTAGCGGGGATGGGACACATCAGAATAGCTAGCTTATTATTCTTTGGTCATCGAGTCTTTGTTCCGTTCGCAGACTAGGTGAACTCGTAATCGCTTCAAACACAGCAGAAAAAATCTTACCTTTCCACAAAAATAAATTTATGACATAAACTAGATGTTAGCTACTGAACTATATCATAATCTCAACCCACTTAAACTTCTAACAATATTATTCCAAGCTTAATTCATAGAAGTTGATCGTTTAAGAAAGTGATCATTGAGGGGTTGGAAGAATTTACTATATACATTATCCCTTGTATTAATGAATAAGTTTTTACCACGTAGTGATGAATCTGAATAAATATTAGTGATTAACTTCGAAATAGACTTTTTGAATACAGATTGAAAAGCTATGATTTATAGAACTAAACAAGTTAAAAGTGACATAGTCACTCATTGATAACATAAGATGAAGGATTATAGTAAAATATAAAACAAAGTGAGAAAAATATCGGCCCTCCTTAAAAGTTTCAATATTGACGATTTAGTACCTCATCAATGTAGTTTCCTACTTCTAACCGCAAGGTTGCTTAGGCGATGGTCCTAACATGTATCATAAATGTTTCAAGGCCTATAGATATTGCGTTCGAGTGCTTATCGAGTTTATGTTTTTAGGAATCAATGATTAGAACGTAAATAACTATTCAATACTCTTTGCTTTTCGATGTTTCTTCCATTGGTATCTATTCCCTGGTGAATTATCCAAGATTCAGAATAGAGAAGTTACACAACCAAACTTATTCTGACAACTTAATTAATGATGGTAATTTTCAAGTAATTATTTCGGCGAGACTATGATTTATGGACGAACTAATCAGGTATAAGATAACAGGTCTCGGATTTTGGAGCGAAATTCACTCACACATTTGGCTAAATAGAGTCTTGGCATTATAGCTGATGTCAGTTCGTGATAAAAACCCTAAATCTAATTCCTAACCTTAACCATCAACTGTAGATCATAATTCGAATTCCTCACGTTAATTTATAACACTCATTTGGTCCTAGTTATCAGGTGGACACTCTCAAGTTCAGTCTAGCGACGCTCAAAGGTCGTCCATAAATTGTAGTCTTACCATTATTTCTTCTACCTAGTCAATCAATAAATTTCAACACTCCAAAGAAAAACCTTATTTCGATTATTCATACATTTATTATATTAATAAAACGCTTTACACAAATATCTAAGCAACAGATTACTTACAACTAGACTAGTTCAGCTGGAATTTATCCAATTATAACATAAAGATTAAAATTCCTAAAAGAATATTAGATATTCAAATATTGAAGATACGGCTTTTACGATGAATATCAACAACACAAAACTCTTATTTGAACACTATCAACCAATTGTTCTCTACACCTTAAATATTAAAATACAATTCATGTACTCGACAGAAGTAAATAGATCGATTAGCAACATGATCATTTTATCTGTAAACTATAAAATATCAAAGACAAGAGATAGATAATATTGGTTAATACAAAAGTGACTGGTTAACACATATTTCAATAGTCGAGATCATGAGTCAATTGAAGCTAGACCATCATGGAAAACCTGGAATCACTGGACGGTCGTTTCGTTCTACTGTGAGACTCCTCAGCAGTGCGCATCCAAGATACCGCCTCGTTAGGTTTGAACCCAGAACCTATCAGTCTCGCGCACGAACGCTTGACCTTTAGATCACTGAGCCGGCATCCGGTGGTGTTAATGTCTAACTCCAACTAATCCACAAAATTGAGCGACACATCCACCATTGTCTTCAGTGAGCTACTCTCCCACAAAAGCTCTGATTGAACTCCACTGGTCACGGATTTCGCATGAACTTTGCAATTATTGATCAGTTGAAGCTAGACTCATAATCTCAACTGTTGAAATTACTATAATATCCACAAAAACACCTTCTGATATTAATATATATTTATTAAACCGCTTGTCTAACGGCTTATTCTAATCATAAACACACTGTTCAACATTTACAATGATAGTCGAGTATATTATTATTATTATTATCAAATTAACTAATTATATATATAACGTATTACAATATGTACAATTATAACTCTATTTGATTCTTCTCTTTCTTTTGTCTATCAAACTTATTCCTCCTCAGAAATATTCGTTTAATTATATTAAGTAATAATAAGAATAATAATGATAATAATAAAGTAAATTTTCAAGAAAAATAGTTCGAAAAACAAAAGAGAAAAAAGCACACCTATTTTCATATTGCCTGATAGATGAATGATTCAAATCATCATTTAATCTGTAAAGCATGAAGAAAATGAAGAAAAAAAATAAACAATCAAGAAATAGAAAAGATAAAGAAGTTTTTTTCTAAAAAAAAAAAAAGAATCTAATCATAAACAAGAAACAGAAGTGAACAACAAACAATGTTAAAAGTGTAGAGAAGGAAAAGACAACACACAATGAAAAGGAAGTCAAAAGTTAATTGATTTACATTGGATGTCCTATTTATTTTTTAAAAAAATTATTGTTATTATTAATTATTAGGCACATTGACAGGAACAATTCCACTACACAGAAAATGCATGTGAAAGTAGAACAAAAATATAAGAAAACAATCAGAGAGAAAAATGCGAGAGGGTGGAAAGTGATTGCGTGCGTGTGTGTATGTGTGTATATGTGAGAGAAAATAAATACAAAAAAAAAACAAACTACCCCACTACTTTATTCAGTGAGAAAATGAAAAGTGAACTATGAAGTTAAATTCATGAAAACAAAGAATAAACATAACAGAAAGTACTAACAGAAAAGCATAGAGTGAATATGAAAAGTTGACAGAACATAATCTATACGTAAATATAGATTATGCACTATTTAAGAGAAGAAAAATTGTGGAAAAATTGAGAATAGAAAGAGAACAACAACGATAACACTAACAAGACGTTAGTTAGAGAAAGGGAAAGAATATATAATTGTCTGTATGGATTGTAATCATAACAAAGTACAATTTGTGCGTATATATGTGTGTTTACATTACAATTGTTTATAGAATGAATGAATGCAGATAATATCTGTGGAACAACAACCTTGTTAATGCTTTGTTTTATTTCAGTAGTGTTAATAGTATTATTTTATAGAATTATAAAAAAAAGTGTTATGAAAAAAACAACAGTAAAACAATGAGCAACATCTGAGAAATTGCACCCATAGCAATGAGCTTCGTTTCATAGGAATCACAATCAATAAAACGAAGAATAATCATTAAGAGAGAAAGAGAGTGAAAAATATAAAACGAAGTAAGAAATGATCCCTAATGTAATTACTATTGAAAGGAAGCAATAAAAAAGGTTCAGATTTTAATTGAGTAGCTTAAATATGAAGACTAGAGAAATACTATAAATAATCATAAATCAAGGCAAATCAAGATGAAATATTTGACAACAGATGTAAATCAATGAATAACTAAATAGTGTTTCGGTAGGAGGATGGAGGATAGCTATAGGTCATACACGTCCACCTCCACCATCATTAAACTTAGGAAGAGGTTTATTCATATTAGTATTAATTAAAATAGATGGAACAAATGCTTGTAACTCTTCAGGTTTAGCTTTATTTAAATCTTCATAAGAGACATACAGTTTTGTTGGAGGTTTATTGTTATTACTGTTACTGGGAGTATTAGTAGTAGTAGTAGAAATAGTAGTATTGTTACAACTGTCATTAGTATGATTACCTGTTGTACCGTTGTTATGATGATGAGGATTGTTTCTATCAGTCTTATTATTATTTTTACTACCACTTCTGCCTCTACTATCATTAACTGTAGTATGTGGTTCAATATAAGACGCTGTACTAACTATATAAGTAGTACTATCTGGAATAGCATTTTCTACATTATTATCATTATTTATTGTTTTACGACTCGTCGTATTAATTACAGTTGATATGTCCGGAGTAGTACTATTAGTAGTATTAGTTGTACTAGTAGAGTATGTTGTCGTAGCCTTTATTGTAGAATCTGAAGATGGTGAAGATGATATTGGCTTAACACCAACATGATTATTGTTATGATTGTTAATTGTAGAAGCATAAGCTTCGGCCAATGATGATTTTTGTAAACGATCCATATGATGATTCCATGCATTCTGAAACATATCATGACCATCATAAAACATAGATGAATGCAACGAATCAATACAACTATTTGATGATTTAATTTCATGGAATTTTTCTGATAAATTTATAGGATATTTACCGGTAACATCAAGAGCTATTAAAATAAATAAATAAATACAAGGAAAAGAAAACAAATTAGACAATATAATACATTAATATGCAATGATGTTAATGAGAAAAAATATGACGAAGATAGGTAAACTATTTTATTCTTGTATGAAATTGTACATCCAATATGAGGCATTGATAAATTCGATCAACTACTGAAGAGGATATTCCTAGGTTACTAGTATTCGATCATAGGTGTCTTCCAAGCATTGCTAGTATATCCTGGGACCACCGAGGAAGTAATGCAGTTGTTAGGAAACGGGTACTAGGTAAGGATGGCAAATCAATTGATGAAGTAGTGAAACTTCATCATTTGAGATAGCTGGAACATATGTTACCTATTCCCAACCACAGACTGCCCCAACGTGCAATGCTTTATAGTGTAGGAGTTGGTCGGAAGAAAGCTAGGGGCGGCCAGACCAAAACATGGCACAAATCCATGAAGTCACTGACAAGTGGACTGAGCCACGTTGGTAGGTGTAAATTACCTGGTTGGGATCCACGAGACGATAGCAACCGATGGTTAGAGACCTTGAATGACATGGCTCAAAATCGTTTGCAATGGCGCAGGTGCATCCACTCTTTGTGCTCTTCCAAATTCTAATCTTCTGAATTCTTCATGTCCTTTTTTTCTCCTTCCAAATTTATTTCACTGAATTATACTTCTTGAATAACATCTTCAAACCCTAATTTTTCCGATTACTGCTTATAATTTTACTACCTCTACCACTATGGGATTTGAATCGACAATTGCATTTGTGTGCTAATGTGGTATGGTAACTCGAACTGATGTACATACGTACGAAATTCTACGTTGTTGCTAACTGACTGAACATTGAACAAGAATTTCATATTATTGTCAAATTATATTTTACAGTGATGAATAAATCAGAATGAAGAAAACTAGTTGTGAACTGAAAAAAATAAACGATTTTAATCTTATATCGTAGTGAATATGTAATAAAAATACCTTTGTCTAATGCTTAAAACGTTTAAAATTATTAAGGAAAATTCTTTGCTTATCTTAAGATAAAGTGATAATAACGAATATATCAATTGCTCAGTTTGGTACATATAGACATTGAATAATGAGTGAATCGATCAAGTCTTGTTCTAGTTTATTTTATTGATAGTAAACTCTCAGAAAAATATCATATTACATAATCATAGTGTAATAGATGAATTGATTGAGTAGAAATGCCAAAATAGATAACGACAGTTCTCCTAGATTTTCATCTTTAAAACTATTTAATGAATTCATCAGTAAGGATTTTGTAAGCGTTAATCAATTTTCTATAAAAAAATTTGTGGCTATGAGACAGATATGATAAGAAACCCTATCAGTAATGCACACACACACATATATATATATATAGACTGATTAGTTCAAATTCTACAAGATTTTTAAGTGATTATGGTTACTCAAGAAAGACCAGTTGGTATTTAATAATTAACAGTGTCAAACTCAGTTAATCTGTGATATTGCGCAATATTTATTCAATGATAGTGTTAGCCTCTGACGTGAATGACAACACATATCATGGCCTTCAGGAAATACATCTCGATATTAGTGAGTATCGATTACAAGCATATCATATAGTGAAGTTGATTGTTTAATTTTTTTGACTTTAAATATTCCTCCAACGTACATCCGTTTGTAATTTGAATTACTTACAAGTTACATTGAATTTTATACTGTAATAAACACTATGTTTTAATGTTGAAACCAACCAGTTAGAAAAAGAGTAAATTCACTATACATTTCAATAAAACCTGTATACACTTATTGAATAGGTAACTTTAAACGACTGGAAAGAAACTCAGTGACAAGTGTTTTAGCTGAATTGTTAAAATGTATATGTAAATCAAAAATGGAAGGAGGAAAATGTCCTCAAACAAAAGATTAGTATCGATTTGTACAGGTTACAATCATTACACACATTCAGGTATCATACAACAAACAGCCTTTCGTGTCTATTAGCGATCAAGAGACTGTAATAACGATTAACCTTAATTAATAACATTATTATCGAGAGAAAAAATGCAACAATTCATTTTGTGATCAGTTAAACAAATTATACTGAATAATACATCACCAATGCAGTATCCATCGTCTACATACATATAGACATATATATACGTGTGTATTCTCTGATATATGTCATTCGTAGTCGATGCAGGGATTCTATCTCATTACAAGGTATCAAAACTTTACTCTCGACATTAGTCAAATAACTGAAAAAAAGAATTAGATACAGTTAAAAAAGATGCATTCGATGAATACACACACATCTTTTACCATCGATAACAGCCTTCAGTGTAGTTAAACAAATGTTGCTACGACTCATTAATACAAATGATCAACGATGATTGAGAAAAATAACAACGGTAGAACATTCAAGATTTAGTTGAACGATAATTAAAATTTATGTCAGTTTACAGATCGGACCTGTCACAGACTGAGTGATATCAAGTGTTTAGTGATAGTGAATGGAAAACCGTCGATCTAGGTTTCGTGCTAGTTGATACTCATCAATAAAGCCTATCTATAATCTTCAAGGAGTTTGCACTTGTTATGGGATTCGAACTTTTCTCACTCAGCTTCACAATTCGAGACTTTATCACTGAGCTACTCAGACCTCCACTAACCGCTGGTAGGACTGATATTTTAGCATTGACTGTCCAGTGAGTGATGATGAACGTTAAGTATGTTTAATTTTTTAGCAATGATGGGATTCTACCAGTCAAAATACTTCGAGATTGTAGATGAGCCTTGCTGATGAGTGTCAGTTAACGTGAAATATAGATCAAGAGATTCCTACCGATTATTGCCAAACATCTAACAGCATGTGATGTTGAGTCACTTAGACTAGCAGTCATACTGGAACTTCATCAGTAGAATTCGACCAGCTGTTTTGTATATTCCATAGAAACTGAAGTTTTAGAGAATAGTTATGGAGTTCAGACATGTCAGAATTGAGGATAGTGACTTCTCTGAAATATCACTTGAATAGGATCGTGTCATATCACAAACTGACTGAAACAAAAAATATGTAAAATATTGTATACTGATTTTATGGTTTGAAACTACTGTACTCGTTGTAAAGAAAACCGAATATCCTAGATTCAATTATATGTAGGTGTTTGTAGTTACCCGTTATTAAGGAGGTTCGAACTAAGGAGTGAAAGACCATCATTGAAATAACATCAGTTTCCTTGAGTTTACAAATACAATCTGATTGAAACTGGAATTTAGAAATTTCTTTGGGTTATCTTAAATCAACTCATAAACTTTGATTTAAATGATTTTATCTGCATTCTATCTATGTATAATGATAGATAGAATTGAGTATTTTATATATAACTCTATAAATACATTTATTATGTTACCATACATTTTTGCTAGAATCGAGTTAGTAAAAAAGATAGATTACATATAGATAAGAGATTTGTTTAACTTACGTAAACTAGCCCGTTGATGTAATACAGTTAATCGTCTAGCTAACAGATAATGTTCTGCTGATATTTTTAAATATTGTAAATTAGAAGAAGCTTTTAAAGTATAATCAGGTAGAAATCGAGCTTCCGATGCTAAACGTGCTGATTGAATAGATGGATCCATATTTTCAGAAGGATTTGGAAATAATTCATTGACACCTATTTTATTGTTTTTTTTTTAATTAATTAGAAACGAGATTGGAAGAGAGAAAGGAAAAGAAAAAGGGAGATTTATTGACAATCAATTCATGAATATGCTTGTTGGATCAAGAAACAAATTATTTCTTTATTCTTAGCATACTAAAACACTTTTGGAACGATTTTGGTTGGTATATCAACAGAATGAAGTTAATTCCATGGAAAAATTAATAAAAGACAAATTATTAGGGTTTATTTCACAAATCCTATCATAAATAGGCATTTATTCTCTTTATTTATTCATACATCTGTCTATTCGTTTTGGAAAGGATCGAGTTTAATTTATCATTCAAGATAAGTAACTAGAAATATGAGTTTCGAGAAGTTGTATCCATATGTATTTAACTTGAACGAATACTGTTTACAGGTTTAAATGTTGAAAAATATCTGGACAGTATAGCCTAAAGTCTAGTAGAAAGAAAGATGATGAAAAACGTGTGTAGCTCAAGAGGATGGATTTATTAAAATTACGTTTTTCAAGATGGATAGCTTTGAGCATGAAGATATCATCATTATCATCATTTTAAACAACATAATCAGTACAAACTTAAGACAAAAGTAAGTTACCAAATATCAATATATATCTTTGTTTATATCAATACACATCCCAGTGAGGAAAATGTTGAAATCCTTTTCAAAGATAACAATATAAAGGTTTGGAGCTCAATGCCAATCAGTAATCAATAAACATATTGAAATAGATTCGATTTGTCAACTAATCAGAAAAGATTCTGAAAAAACTACAAGGTTAAGACTTATGTAAAAATGGAGGAGAGTAAAAATACTTAAAATAAATGTACAGATGACAAAAAAAATATTGACAAAAGAAGAAAGATTTAATTTATTTATATTAGTTGTTTGAATCTTCCTATTGATGTTTAGGAGTGCAAATGATCAGTCTAATTTGGCACAAGTGTATCCTATGCGGATCATTAAGATGTTCCCATTGAGTCACAAGCACTGTAAATAGAAATGGATGATGGGTAGTAATCGAATTCAGGACGCGCTTTTCATCTTATTAGGGTCTCGTCAGTTTGATAGATATACCTCCAGGACTCAAATCCAGTACCATTCGCTTAAAAAACCATCGTGTTATGCGTTTAGCTGCTGAGTTCTGATAGCCATATTTGTGTTGACAAAACAGCCGGTTAATCAACTGTGGAAAAAAATTTCATTAGCCTTCCACATTTTTGTAAAATATGAATTATTGATGTTATTGAGATAGATAATGAAATCTTTACAATAAGACCTATCCAGTGTGCTCAGAAAACACTATTTCAACAAAACTAGTACATAGATTTGTATTCGTTTACAAAATAGTAATGTTAATTTAGTTCATTTACCAGATTTCGTGTACTAAACCTTTTGTTATTTTGAAATTAACTAACGATTTTCGAACCCTTAATTGTTAATAGAGACTTTTAAAGAGGCAAGGTTCTGCGGGAATCTGTAACTTGTATATGATCAGCCAAGTTGGTAGTAGAGCAAGTACTCATTAATGACGATAAATGGTAGATTTGGTATACATTGCGAACTAACCAATGTTTATAATGCAGACTATCAGGTTCAGAATACTCCCTAAATAGTATTAGGTATGCTATAAAACTTAAAGGTTTTCGAGTTGAATTTTGTCTAGACCTATGGGTATACACAGTTCTGAAGAGTCAAGGGCTAGTAAGAAACGGTAATTCAATGGTTCTCCTTTCTTATCATCTAGTAGTCGGTCATAAAAACTATTATATGTAGGATTAGATAAATAAAATGAAAACATAAAACTTTGAAAGTTATTCTTCAGTAAATCAGTGTAGATATTTTTAATGTATATTTATTGAACGATCGATCTATGGTACTTTATGCATACTGTCTTAATTGTGGACTTTTGTGTTGATTTATTGTTGTTAGATCTTCCTCTGTCTCCAACTTGTTATTTTAATTTGCATCATGTACATTCTGCTTACACGTATAATCTATAATGTGTCATAGTCTTCTATTTAATGTATATAATCACGAGTTGCAGTTTGAATAATACAAGATACTAAGACGGCTTTTCTAGTATTCTGGTTAATAGTTTCGGGGCGGTAGAGTTTCTCTTAGGTAACCGATCATTAGCAAAAACATTGGGGTGACAGTATAATATAGGGACGGACTTGACAATTGGTCCTTAAAATGACCACATAAATTTAAAGACATTTTTCAACCAATTAAGAGAGAGTATATATATAAATCAAAAGTATTTTGTAACGGAAGTAACAAAATCTGCTAAAATTTAATGGTTCAAAGGAGTTTAGTGACATTTCAAGGTTATTATCGGTTTTCTTATCTTAGTACTGCATAAATATAATTACATAGACCTCATTTGTCTGAGTGAAAATACATCCAACATAAAACGTTCGTTTCTGAATTCAACTAGAAAGGTATTTTGTAGCAATTACATTATTACCTACGGAGTTCTTATTTACAATTCCAGAGATGGAATTTTAGAACAGTCATTGTCTCCATGTTCGCATGAAGAATTGATTAGTGAAAACTTTTATCCATTTTAGCATTCTTACCAACTCCCCTATCATTTAGTTTTTAGAGTTTACCTATAAATAACGTTAATTGAACGTAGTACATGATTAATTCACATGTTAATGTACTGGGTTAGAGTCCCGGAGGGAACACCAAATCTGTGATGCAGATACATTCGGTTGGTGAGTTTTAAATAGAACTAAACAACCGTCCTGGTTTTCACTACTAACCACAACCCACCAGTTTTTTTCTTTAAAAAAAGCCAGACTTACGTTTTAAAACAGCTTCACCAAACATAATAAACGGTCCAGCTTCAAAAATTAATCCTTCAACACCAATTTGAACAATAGCACGTCCTTGCAGTAAAAGAATAGCATAATTTGACCATTGACCCATATGATACAAAGTATTTGCTTCATCATCTTTTGGACTAAAGAATTAAAAAAACAATGAACAAAATATTTACAAAATATACATCATGAGCTTATGGAAAATGTTATTGTTTTGATTATGATGTCCTAATAGTAACACAGAAACAAATAGCGTGGACATTCAAAATTATCGGATTTTTGAATGGAAACTGTGTTGTGATTAAACTTAATTTGAAGCTTGAACTAAGCCATTAAGTATAAAAATATCAATCGTATAGGAATACTGGTCTGAAAAGGTTACTCGTACTAATTCTAGTTCCGTATATTAAATCACTTGAAATTTATGCTTATGTATTATGTGAACTGTTGTTTGCTTTAATGCCTAATAAATTAAACTGGGCACTTGTAGGCTTGAAAACTCAGTTGTACAGTTACTGTATTTCATTGTTCTATGAAGTGTTCTTGAGCTTCAAACAAAAACAAGCAATGTGATATGCAAGCTGAATATATATATATGAAAGACCAACCATAGAGTAGAATAGTCTTATAACTGATATGTATACTGTTTACCAACAATCCACTCATTGATTTTCATGAAAAATTATTGTCAACTATACTAATGGATGCATCTGATTCCTGTTAAGAATGAAATAATAGTAATTCTTTATGAACACAGAGAACACATGATCAATACAATTCGATTTGCACTAGAGGACTAGAAAAAGAGGATATTTTATATTACTATGTGATCAATCAATATCTTAGTTCTACAGGATATCAATCGCGGTTTGAAAAGCTCACTGATAACGCCTTAGAATGTGAAGACAAATGAAACAAGTTTGAATCCTATAGGCAATATCAGTCCCCTCAAAAGTGTAGGTAGACTTTAGTCAGAAGTATTAAAAAGTTTCCTGCCGTCTACTTCCAACTAATTAGCATGCAACACACATTGCAGTTATTACTGGCAATATAATGCTAAAAACTCGTAGAAAGAAAGAAACAATATGTACACTAAAAACACTAGCAAATCATCTACTTGGATATTGAACTTAGGTATTTAAATCACTTCAAGACATTTTTAACTATTAGTATTGTTCTACCATAGTGGTAGTCTAATTTGTTGTCCTGCCTACACTTTGGACATAAAATGAAAAGAAAATATTATCATTATTAACAATTATAATATTTAAACAGTTTCTATAAATTATAAGCATATTTGATAAGATTATAAGAAGGAAGATACTGTTTCTAAGCAAATATAAGTCATATTAATGGTCGCAAGAAAAAAATAATTCATAGAGAATATAGACAAGATTATAGCTTATTTATCAAATACAAGTTTGTGTACTAGGTGTTGGAGTAATATTGTTTGTATTAAGATTAATGATAATCCAGAGATTAGTCGGTTGGAATTTGAACTTGTGACCTAGTGAGTGGTAAATCATGTGTTTTAGCCACTAAATCACAGTTCAATAGACAATATAGATAGGATGAAATGATTCAGAGATTGATAATTTACATTGCTAACTTCAGTCAATTAATTATGTTGTGAAACTACCTTTTTAATGTCACTGATAGGTAACTGTCACATACCCGACGTAGTTGAACTCTGCTGTTTATGATTTTTCACTAGAGCTCCGGAAATTATCTCTTGAGATAAGTCAGTGATAAGCCCATGAATAATGTCAGTAGTATGAAACGTTTGTGAAGATTGTTTACATTACAGACTAAACTTAGTTAAATAACTAATGACATCTAGGAAGAACCGGACAGCTGTTCCTAGTATAGGACTCCTCAACGGTGCAAAAATATGTGAACTTTTGGATACAGACTCAGTGATCTGAAGATCAAGTGCTGCGAGTCCCAAAGGTCTTGATTTCGGTATCTGGTGGGGGGCGGTGGGTCTATGTGCCAAGTTCAACACCATAACGAAACAGTTGTCCAGTGTTTCATGGTCTGTAACGATTGTCTAAAATCAGCTCTCCATGTAACCCACAAAAGATTAAACCAATTATGTATGTATTTCTTTAGTATCATTGAGTTGGACCATAACAAATTCATATTTCCAACTGTAAACAGTTCATATTATCATGAGACTATCATTAATTGTGATTAGTGGTGCTTGTTTTCATTCGCAACAGTTGATTGTACATTAGCAATTATGACTTTGTATCTGAGCTGACTGATCCTACCATATAGATATTTCAACAAGTTATCTGTTGTTCTTTGTCTTAAGAGATCACTACGTTTATTGATCGTACAATCTTTTCAGGCATGTATATGAAAAGTTTACGACCTATCGCTTTACAAGGTACAAAAAAGTACAATTAAAGACATTGTGGTGACTAGTAATAAGCATTGAAAAGAATGAACATTAATTAAATGTGGATTCATGAACTCCTAATATTTAACTAGCAATCACTAATTAACAAGGTGGACTATTTTCAATTCCTGTTAAGTATAAACATATATCATTAATTTAATACTTACTTGTATATACATTCACCAACAATATTTGCATTGAGGAAACTTTGTAGTACAGAATAACAAATATACTTCTCTTCAAATGATTTAACTTCTAAAAATTTGGAGAATTAAATAATTATTTAATAAACAGGGAATGTCAGTAATATAAAAAGACGTATTAACAAGAGTAGTAGTAAGAGGACAAATGGAACAAGAAAAAAAACCAACAGAGTGAATATTTTAAGGACATTAAGAAAAAAATTAATTTAAATATAACTTTTTTGATTGAGATTATGAACCGATTGATTTTAGACCATCGTTGAAAACCTGGGAGCACTGGATGGCAGTTTCGTTCTATTGTGGGACTCCTCATGGCCTGGGTTCGAATCCCGCGAGCGGGATTGTGGATGCGCGTTGCTGAGGAGTCTTACAATAGGACGAAACGGCAGTCCAATGTTTTCAGGTTTCCACCGGTAGTCTAACATCAATCGGTTCATGATCTCAATCGAAAACTTAATAATCTCCACAACCAGTACACTGTTAAATATAACTCATTTACTAGGTAAACATATATGTACCTAGCTTTGAACTATACCACAGTTGAGTAAAGGTTAATGATCCTGTTAAAGTAGGAGGATAAAGGATTTGAATCTACATAATATATTGATTGAGTGTCGAGTATTTCAACTACTGATTTAAACAAACTCATCCTTTTGAGCTATAAATATTACTTGTCATTTTAATATTAAAAGGGTGTAAAATGCTTTTCATTGTTAAAAAATTGGAGAATTTGTCTAAAAAGGTAAGGATCTACAAACGAGAACATGATTAAATCATTCAGCTGGCAGAAAACATAGATTAGACAAAACATAAGTAGAATCATGAAAATAACATGTTGAATAAAAGAGAACTTAAAAACATGAATGAATACATAGTTGTATCAGCTTTTTTCTCTAAGTAGCCAAGTTATAAAATAGATGTGAATAAAAACATTAAAAGTTATCTCCTCACATTCTTATCAGCTTTAAAATACTTTAAAACTAAAGCTAAAAAGCACTGGACAACTGGACAAACAGCACTACAAAGGTTCAATACAGCCTTCCTTTGAGATACTGACAAACTCAACCAATTCAAGATAGCTCTCAACAACAGATTCCAAGCCTTATAGAATCTATTGAAGGAAGAAACTACTATGGAGGACAACTGGAAATGTATCAAAGAAGCATTAACTTCAACGTGTCATGAGTTTCTGGGCGGCAAGAAGCATCATCATAAGGAATGGATCTCTACAGAAACACTGGACAAGATCAAAGAAAGGAAGAACAAGAAGACAACAATTAGCAACAGCCGAACACGAGCAGATAAAGTCAAAGCACAAGCTGAGTACATAGAAAAGAACAATCAAGTGAAGAAGAGAATTAAAGCCGACGAGCAGAAACACGTGGAAAAAGATATACATTACGCAAATCATCAGACTGCATCACGAGACAAGCCCTAACTTGGAATCCTGAAAGGAAGCGTAGAACAGGAAGGCCGAAGAACACATTACGTCAGGAAATAAAAGCAGATATGAAAAGGATGGATAACAACTGGAAAGAGCTGGAAAGGATTGTCCAGGACATGGTTGGATGGAGAGTGTTGGTGGGCGACCTATGCACCTCCACGAGGATTAACCGGCGTAAGTAAGTAAGTAAGCTATTATATGCATACTGTGTAGTAGGACTACAAGTTACTATTATATAGTTTAGTGGGTGAAAAAGATATATATACATCATGAACTTTAATGATGATGATATTTATGATGCAACTCAGTAATTAAATATGGATTCGTATGCTCGAATTTGAGACAAACATACTCTGCGATGCAAGTGATAAATAACACATGGAATTACAAGTTTCAGACAATAAGTTAACGTTCAATTTTCTACTGCATTGAAGGAAATGGATGACTCCAGACTGTTGTTGGATTAAACTTGTAAGTTAAGTGGTTGAAATAAAAAAATCTCAAAGGTGAATTATAAAATCGTTTATGAGAAGTCGAGGTGATACTTGACAGTCATAGGAGACGAAGTGATACTACCTCACTACCAGAAATACATGAACTGTAGTTTGAGAACTTACAACTAAATGGTTGACAGTTGAATGCTTGATCATCATCAATAATTCGCTGCTTCCTAGTCAATAAATTAAATCAAACTTCACCATTGACATTTTGATTCAACTAAACATGTGCTTACTATTGACTCATTATGATAGGTATTTCCTGGAGTTCTAGTAAGGAGCGGTAACTAGTGGGACTCAAAATGTCATCAATCATGTATTTATCAACCGAAGACAACTACAGATGTGCAATATCGCAAAATGAATGAAGTTTGACACGTAGAGCATATAATGACCAGTCAGCGGTCTAAGGATTAAGGATTAACTTCAAGACCTGAAGATACTATGTTCGACGTGGGGACGAGTTGAATATTAGAATAAAACAGCTGTCGAATGCATCTTAGTTTTCAATGATTGTCTAACTAAATATAGTCCATGACGTAAACCACAAGAAAAATAATTGACATTTAGATATCCTAAAACTACTAATTGCAGATTCACCAAACTTTTGTCAAATTTTTCAGCATCAACATTAAATGTCTGATTGCTTTGCAATGACCATGTTCAGTACAAGGAAACCATATAGAATCATTCATCCACCAAAATTGACTTGGTGAATTCCATTTGAAGAAAATAAGCTTGCAAAAATTCTACCACTCTCTTAGTTGAACATCATGTCTACAAACCTCGACAGTATACCACGGTATAAAATTTCATTTGATAGAAAATACAATAAACGAAATAACATTAAAATTTAACTACTGCTCTATTATTACTACTACTAATAGTAGGAATAGTAGTAAGTACTGTTGTTGTTACATAAATAGAAAATCACCATGGTAGTTCTATTGATCATGGAGAAAAAAGATAAAAAAAGACATGGGGTAGAAAGTGAAGGAAGTAACTAAAATGAGGCAGCAAATGAGATTGTAAATAAACAGATAAATAAATAGCTGTACAATAACTCAAGGTAGAAAAACAAACAAACAGAACAGTGACCGGATGGATACAACAAGCAACAACTTAGAGAACGAAGAGAACATAGAATAAGATGAAAAACCAGTACATATTTTTCTATTAAACAAAAAAAACGAGTAGAATGACCTTACCACTTGAGAAAAGGTAAAACAATTTCCTACAAGTGAATGATGTATACATATATTTAGAAAGAAAGAGTGGTAAATTATTTCAGGCAGAAGAAAACTTGGTATTATGTATTGGACAAGGAACAAAGCAACAAGAGGAAAGAAAAGCACAAACCAACAACAATATATTGATTCGAATCTTAATTAAAACATTGAATGGATTAACTCAAGTAACAATAAGAGGTGAGAATGTATGTAACTTGACAAAAATAAAACACAACCTATTTTAGTTAACTATTATTATGATTACTATTAACTGGTTAATTAAGTAGTATAATAAAATAATGAGAGAAGCGTAAATATAAAAAAACTGATTATCAATACATTAAATGTCTTAAAAAGAAAATAAACAATAGGCTAATTTAAAACAGTTAGTCCCTTTGATAAATTTTGATAATGCAATGAGAAGACGAAGTTTATCAGAATTATGTGATATATTAGCGCAATACATTTCGAACAATCTGATCACACATATACTTGTTAAGAGCATTTATAGGCTAATTAATCTGTTAAACATTAGTTTATTAACATTACAATAACAAAGGTCATGTATTCATGGGATCATTTTCATTTTTCATATACCTATCTATTATTATTATTATTAATACTTTCATTATTAATACAATGAAAACGTTACATGCTGGTAACAAGAAACACAATTTTATTAAAGTCATATATTGTTACTATTTAAGTAGTATTTTGAGTAGATAATTAAAACAAAATTATTGATATTTTTTTTTCAAATGATGTATTATATTTAAAAAATTTTTTGTTCATATTAGAAAACTATGGTTTTCATCATATGACTTATTATTGATAGATAAAATATTTAAAACAATAATTATTGATAACTGAACAAAAACAACCTGAGTCATTTTCTCTGAATGGTAAAATCTCTAAAGCAATAATCAAAAATAATAATAATAACAATAATAATAATAATAGTAATAGTAATAAATACTAAACAATTTCAAGTAAGAATTCATTAAATGGAATTTTTGTGAGTTATAAATATAAATTAGAGAATTATTGAGAGTCATTCATGAACTGTTAGGTCCTAATAAGCATAATGAATAGTAACTTTGAGATCCATTTATGGATCAATACTATACGTATATGTTTATCGTATAATTGTGATGCAACTAAACTATTCATATTCATATTCGTCTTATTATGAGCTTTATTTTGACTTATGAACCATTATTAAACAAACGTTTTACCATTCTTGAATTATGTCCTGTCTATTAATCACTACCTCCCATATTCACAGCCACATTTGGCCAAATTTTGTACAAATGTTGTTTCCTATTTTATGGTACGTTGTGGTCTGTTTGATTGGTATATAAACCCCGTATGTTTGAAATACGTGATACATATCGCAGAGGCTGAGATTGGTGTTCTGGACTTAATTGGCTAAGCTAGGCGAAAAGCAGGGCCAATCAGGACTCTAGACCGCTCGTACGGGTTTTACGCATCATTGATCTGATCGATAAGTGACTGCTCTCTGATTGGCGGTATCATTACTTATCCATTAACAGGGCACACAGACCAAAGGTTATAACATAGACTGAACTCTGAATTTTTAGGTTTTAAAAGCGAATAGAGTTAGTTAGTCAGCAATATAAAACCTTCCATAAATGTGTATTGGTCGAAGTTGCTAATTAACACTAGAGCAGAGATGAAATTATCAAAACTAGAAAACATAAGAAATAAACAATACGATTCGAGAAGAAATGATGAATTAGTGGGATAGAAAGTAAGTGACAACTTGAGAAATAAACATTGAATGGAAGACAGAGAATGAATCGACCACTTCCACTAAGATTGACTCACAGTTACATCCATCTAAACTGGTTATAATAAGCAT